GTTTCCTTATAAGGAAACATTTGGCATTCATTGAACGAGCAGCCAGTACTAATGTCGGTTGAAATTTCTCTTAAAACAAATTTTCAAGAAAACAGGTTTTCCAAGTCTTGTAGCTGTTATCGATCTTTCCATTAGTAATGGTGCTTTCCTTCCTAAGTTTTTATTTGAAGAAATGTGAAATGTCAACATCTTTATTTATTTTCTCTTCGAGTTACATGTGCTGTTGATTTTTGTTGTTAATGTGATTATTAGTCTTCAAGTGATGTGGTTTCTATCATTTGGTAACTATCACTCATCACAATGAACGGATGTTCCCTCAGGGAGGCCCTGTACCTTGAGCGCCTTAAACTCAACCCAGACATTGTGTAGAATTTATATATACGATCCATCGCTAAAGATGCAGGAACAATGGTCACTTCCCTTTACCGCTCCAGTAAGTACCTGACTCCTCCAGCTATCCTCTACATTTTATTGGCCAAAAATGGAGTACTGTTGCCATATATGGACAGGAGTTGTTTTCACTTTCCACTTTCGATAGCGTTTCTTAGCGCCCTTATGGGTGACAAATTATTTTCCATCCGACTACCCCATTCTCCCAGATGAAACGTTTCAAGCTACTAACTGCTCTGTTGCTATTTCCAAAGAGACTGCTCAAACGAACTACATTCTTTAGTTCCACCAGTTTATCGGCAAGGTCTCATGAATAGTTGAATTGGATAGCTGTAGCCGTAAGTTCTATGCTAACAGTTTCTTCTCTCGCTTATGGAACTCTTTTCCGATTCCATGCTTTCCAAACAACTTTTATCTTCAAAAATTTAAATTCCATATCAATCGTTCTCTAGTGTCTTTTTGATTATTTTTTTTCTATTGTTTTTGCTCCTTAATAATGTTTCTTTTTTTTCTTTTCTTTTTTTCTTATTCTTTCACACTCAGTAACCTCCTTATGTCTTAGTAGCTTTACTGCCTTCCTTGGGGTGAAATGATTTTAAAAAATAGCGTGGCAAAGAAGGATAGAAAAATGCATTACACTCCAGGGGGATTACAGGGAGAACTATGTAGTTCGTTGTTTCGAATTGAAATAAATTATTTGTGATCCGCTGACAGATGCAAAACATACCTCACTATGGATAGATTTCGATACACAAAACACTGTAAAGTACAAATTGTAAAATCAACAACATTTATTGCTCCTATTGTTTAATGTATCTTCCTGGTGAATCTCGTCACAGTTTTCATTTCCTCCCCGATATTTTCTTCTCCACCTTGTTCCCTCGACGCTGTCTGATTTTTTTTTTTTTTTTTTTTTACGTTCACGTGCCTACGTGCGTTTTTAACACGCGTCTTTCTCGAGAACTTGTCTGTCTGACCTTCAATTTCAATCCCGCACGATTCCATTTATAACTGATGTCGCTATTATGGGGAAAATAAGAGATTAACAAGCGTTTGTCCCTTCCAGAGAAAATATCCCGCCTTCCTTAATCTTTCAAAAATCGCGCTTCTTATTTGCTAATCAAATATTGTGCGGTCGATATAAAAATTTCATACATTTTTGGACAAACTCAATTATATTAGGTACCACTACACACTTCATTAAAAAAAAAATTATATAATATAAATAATTTCTTTTAAATTAAAATCCTGATTTAAATGGTTATTTTCGAAGCGTTGTTTCGATATGGCACAATGCCGAAAGTATGAAGCATCTAGAGAGGGTCGATCTCAATTTTCAGTCGCTAACCATTACACCAGCCGAGGTACCCAAAAAATAATTTTCTAAGAATAGGTGTGGCACAAATGCCATGTAGTATGTAGCACCCAGTGTGGATCGAATTCACCATTCAGTCGTAATTGTTCTAGCGAGACAAACTTATTATAATTAATATAATTTATAATTTTAATCTATAAAAAAGAAAAATAAATCTACGCATGTAAATAAAGTTTTTAAACTTTTTAAAAACATTTGTACGGTCACTCATTGATTCATCGAACCACCATTACAGACGAAAAAGGAAAACAAAAAATTTTAAAATCTCTTTAAAATCTAATATTTGCCCTAGACATTTTTTTCAAAGTAAATTAAGCGGATTTTATAAAAGTAATGCTTACCGTTTACCGAAAAGAGAAAAAGTAAATATTCAGGGTAGTCTATACTATGACATTATAGATCAACAACAATAATCTTCTACTGTCACCCCCTAAAATACCCGTAGTATTCTCTGTCATCCAAAGCGCGCGTACAATTTTCAATATTACGAAAGATCAAAAGGGCTACAATTGATTGGTAGAAATTGGTATTGTTTATTTTTTTATTTTTTTTATTTTTATTTTTTAAGCTTTTCACCCCAAGCAAGGCGGGAAGCCACTAGGACGCAAGGGGTTACAGAAGATTTGGAGCAAGATCAGATAGGAATGATAGAGGAAAGGATGAGGAGAAGGATAGTGGATAGATCAAGGCAACTGGAGATGTCGATTGACATTACATTTGAATAGTTGGAGATTATAGCTCTCGGGGAAACTGGAATAGGGAAGGGAGTTCCACAGGCGAGAGGTGCGAGACATGAAGCTATTTGCTTTAAGATAAATTATCCTTAATCTTACATAACCAATAGTTTAAAAATATAATTTTTGTCATATACGCTATTATGAAACTTAGTAGAATCCATTTTATTTTTATAATAGTATAAAAAACAAATTAATTAAAAACTAGTTAAATGATACTTTTGAGTTTAATTCGTTGCTTTTATTTTTATTATTTTCTGACCTTATATATTTTTGTATAACTATCGTAATAATATCTTAGAACACAATACAAAGGTTTATTCTAAAATCGGATATTATTTTCCCAACAACCGAATACTATCGAGGCTGATATATTCTAAAATCGGATATTATTTTCCCAACAACCGAATGCTATCGAGGCTGATATATTGCGTGTCTCTGTTTATGAGCGTGAACAGTGGGATAGTATCATAGTCAGGTGTCGAGTGGAAATGTTTTTGTCGCTGAATAACGATTCTAGGAATATAGTTAGAGGCACCACCAGAATGGATACGTTTTTAGGAAAATAATTTAAAAAAAAATTACCCAATTTAAAAATTTGCTAAAAATCATGGAATTATCGGATTTAAATAAAAATTTTCCACACTTATTCAGTAACGAATGAATTGTAAAAGACTATATTTTATTAGGAAACTTTGTGGAAATATTTTTGGTGGTGGGTTATTTTCAGTCCCGTTTTTTGATACATCTTGTGCACTTTTTAATTGGGAATGATTCCCAACCTTTTTTTTTTTTTTTTTTACAGTTATATGAAGAAAACTCTCTGTCTAAAGATGTTATTTAAGTAAAAAAAATTACGCCATAAGATGCTTAAACATACTGAAGATTGTTGTTGTTGTTGTTGTTGTTGTTATATTTGTTTTTGTTTATGGCATCATCTTGCCAGATTCTAATTCTCAAGTTTCCTTCGATATCTATGAGTAAAAAGGGCTTTGTGGGATGATATGCACATTTGGGACGTTTCGTTTAGATGGCGAGGATTTTGAGGACATGCGCAGTTCAGCACAAAGTAATTTTTGCAGCTCTGAGATGCTGATGAGTCCAGGAATTTTACTCTGACGATTTTTGGTACTGTTCTTCATCATAAACACTGCATCTATCATAACAGAGATAATCATAGTTTTAAGTTTCTATACTTTTGTTATTTCGATTTGACAGATTTTGAAATTCTTTTTTAAAAACATAGGAATCATATGGTCAAGTCATATCAATTAGTTGGCAGGTTCCTTTTTTTAAATCTTTTATGACTATGTCTGGTGTGTTTACATAAATTTTCCTGTTTGTGAGGATTGGGAAATCCCACTGCATAATCACTCTATTACCATTTGTAACGTCATTTGGGTGGACTTTGTACCATGTCTCCGTGACTTCAATACCATAGTTCGAATAGACATACCAATTAATATATTGTCCTAGCGTATGTCTAATAATGTATTCTTTCTCAGCAAACAGTGAGCAACCTGATACTATGTGGTCAACAGTTTCATCAAATTATTATTTTATTTCCTTTGATTTTTGGTGCGTATTCATTTCTTTCTGGGTCCCGCCCAGAGACCTAAGGTCAGAAATGGGCAATCTAAGCAATTTAAAACCAAAAAAAATTTAAAAATTAAAAAATACACAAACACATATTTTACATAGATAAAGCCCTTTGTAAGATGTAGGCTGTACTCGTGATAATAATATTTTGTATTTCTTTGAGGCATGGACTTCCAGGAATCCCTTCAATTAGTCTACTGGAATCTTTTCCAACCAATCCGAGGGCTCAAACTACAACAGGGATTGTTGATGTTCTCATGTGCCACATTTTTCAGATTTCTATTTCAAGGCTCTTGTTTTTTTTCATAGCTTTTTAAAGATCTTCAAAGATACATTGCAGTCTGCAGATATTGCCATATCAATAAGGAAGCATTTTTTTTGTTTGCAGTCTCTAATAACGATATTATTATTATTGTTATTATTATTATTATTATTATTATTATCATACAGATAGATACTGATAATAGCATGGACGAAATGTTTGGCCTGTTAGAACGTTTTAGGAAAAAAGAACACCTGTACTTGGAATCAGAAAGAGACAGTTGGAATTTCTGGGAGACCTACTGAGGAAAGAGGGCTTGGAGAATTTAATACACACAGGACATATTGACCACAAGAGGGGCAAAGGAAACATCGAAAAACTCACCTAACGAGCTTGAATATTAGGACAGTAACTGGGTATTATAGTAAGGAGATAAATATTGCCTAGATCTACAAAGAATAGGAAGTTGTGAAGAACCATTATCTCTAATGTTCTGAAGGGACACAGCACACAATAGAAAGCAAAAGTTTGACAAATTAAATCATAATCTTAAATAAAATAGTAAAAAAAACATCTATTTGAAAAAATTAGGAAACAACTTTCTTTCTTTCATGATAATGAATTATATTCGAAGGCAAACTCTTTCATTGCATATTTGCACATAGATAGATAGATAGATAGATAGATAGATAGATAGATAGATAGATAGATAGATAGATATTTGTAACGGTCGCCGAAAGGACCAGTATATCTCTTCGCAGGCTTAGGGACTTTGCTACTTAGTACTAGAATGGTAGCAGTAGTAACAGAGTTAAAATTAGGAGAAAAAATGTCAATGTTCCGTAAAAATATAAAAAATAAACTTTTATCTCGGTGCGATGGATAAATTGTCGTCTAAATTACGCAAAAATGAAAATAGCACTGACATTTCAATTTAACAGATATATTTACCAAAATTACACAAAACTATCTTGAAATACTAAAGAGTAAATTTATTCAAACACGATCTCCAGACGACTTCGGATTCTCTTGCAACTCTTTTGGACGGTCTCCTTGTTTAATTTGGTGAATGTGTGCCATAATCCTTGCTCTCAGTTCATCTTTGGTGTTACAAGGAGTTTTCTTGATCTTCGTTCAACTGCGCCCCACACATAATAATCTAGGGGACTGCAGTCTGGGGAGTTAGGTGACCAGATGTAAGGGGTAATGTTGTTACAGAAATTGTCTAACAGCCATGACTTGATTCTCCTGATTGTGTGGCATGATACCTGTTGCCAGACACAGGGTCTTCCAGCAGCCACCCTCTTCACCCAGGGCAGTACTACCTTGATGTAGGGTTTCTTGTTGAGTTTAAGCCCCTGTGGAAAGATGAATGGAAGCATAACGTCGCCATCACTAGTGATCACTCTAAACACCTTCGTAATCACCATTAGACTCATCTAAATCTTTCCGATTCCTCTGCACTGTCCTCACACCCAAACACTCTAAAATGTTCGTATTGGAGCTTCCGGCGCGAATGCCACGCAGTACAGCGTGCCTTTTCCAAATTTCTGTCGGAGTGATTTGCGTCATGGTGCTCTTTTACTTGGTGCTCTTTTACTCACAGACGGTGCCCAACTGACCCTACTATAATGTGCAGTCGACAAAATAAAAAAAAAATGCGCATGCGCGTAATTAAAATATAAAATGGCGATAATTTACCCATCGCCTCCTGTACATACATGTGTTCAGTTATAATTTCTGTGAGTCTGATTACCACGCGACCCCATATGGACAAGGAAACTATCCCGTATTCTTCAGCTACTGCCGGTCAAAGAAGCAATATGATAATTATATGTAACCTACTACTAGATTCGAAATTCTCCTCTAAGATACCATGTGTCCATTTTATTATTTTTAGTTTGTTTCAAATTGTTTTTGTTTCTGTTTGAACAGCGTTTTGCTTTTTTGTGCATTTCTTTAAAATCATTTTTTTTAACAAATTCGCCCCAAGAAAGGCGATAATGTCACTAAAACGCAAGGGATATTGGGAGTGAAAAGGTAAGAGAAAACTTTAGAAGGAACCAGAAACCCAATCCTAAACAGGAGACAAAGAATAAACCTCTAGTCCTGTTCAAAAAACCGTGGAGGGTTGTGAACCGGGCGATAGGCAAACCTATCTACTCTTATTGGTGGAAGAGGGGGAAAACACAAATATATAAATAAAATAAAATAAAATAAAATAAATAATTAGTTAATAAAATTTCAGAGTTCAGGCTCAGACGTTAGAAGTACGGAGCTGAAGCAGACTTTAGAAGGAACCGGAAACCCGATCCTAAACAAGAAACAAGGGATAAACCTCTACTCCTGTTCAAAAGACCGGAGACGAGTGAGAAACGGGCGATAAGCGAACCTATCTACATCTATTGAGAAAAAAAATATCAAATTAAATAGTAAACCAAATGCCGAACCACAAAACACAAGGATTCAAAAGGTACGATTTCAAAATCAACAATACGTAATCGGTTTATCAAATATTGTTTCATGTACCTGCATGGTGAATGTCGAAACAAGTTTTTCTCTTCATAAAAAATTAAGTTTTCTCCCCGATATTTTCTTCTTCACCCCGTTCCCTCAACGCCATGTGTTTTTTTGTTCACTCGCGTACGTACGTGGCCTTCTTCAAAATGGAATCGTGCGAGAAGAGAAATTGAAGGTTAAGGTCCTTAACCTTCAATTTCTCTTCTCGCACGATTCCATTTTGAACTGATGTCGCTATTTTGGGGAAAATAAAAGAAATCAAGCTCTTCTTCCTCCTAGAGAAAATCAACAATCCTCATCATCATGTCCTCATCAATATTATCTTAAATAATATCACGCTTCTGATTTGCTAATCAAATATTATTACGTCAATAGATGAAAAATTCTGACACTTATCGGACAAACTCAATTATTTATAGCAATAAATTTAAAAACATAGCATTGTTATTCAGCTATCAATATATTTCCTTCGTCTGCCAGGCGCCTCACCGCGGTTTAGTGGTTAGCAAGGTATAAAACATTGCTACTGGTTAATGATTGCAGTTCTCACAGATCGTGGCTTTAAAATTCGACCGGTAAAAACACTATAAGGACTGACATATAAACTAAATCAGCCGAATATAACACCGAAACTTCCAAGAAACTAAGCAAAATCTTAAGATATAGAAAAACATTATTAAATTGTTGCAAGCATTAATTTAAACTGTTCTTATTAATAACTGCCTTGTTTCTTTCCAGGTAAAAAGGTAGGCTGAAAAGTTGATAGGCTGACTATGAAGTAGTGATACTAGAGCTGTGAAATTTTGCATGAATTGATTTCATCTCTTCTTATTGATAACTGCCTTGTTTCTTTCCAGGTAAATGAAGTTAGGCTGAAAAGTTGATAGGCTGACTATGAAGTAGAGATACTAGAGCTGTGAAATTTTGCATGAATTGATTTCATCTCTTCTTATTGATAACTGCCTTGTTTCTTTCCAGGTACGAAGATAGGCTGAAAAGTTGATAGGCTGACTATGAAGTAGTGATACTAGAGCTGTGAAATTTTGCATGAATTGATTTCATCTCTTCTTATTGATAACTGCCTTGTTTCTTTCCAGGTACGAAGGTAGGCTGAAAAGTTGATAGGCTGACTATGAAGTAGAGATACTAGAGCTGTGAAATTTTTTGCATGAATTGATTTCATCTCTTCTTATTGATAACTGCCTTGTTTCTTTCCAGGTACGAAGGTAGGCTGAAAAGTTGATAGGCTGACTATGAAGTAGTGATACTAGAGCTGTGAAATTTTGCATGAATTGATTTCATCTCTTCTTATTGATAACTGCCTTGTTTCTTTCCAGGTACGAAGATAGGCTGAAAAAGTTGATAGGCTGATTATGAAGTAGTGATACTAGAGCTGTGAAATTTTGCATGAATTGATTTCATCTCTTCTTATTGATAACTGCCTTGTTTCTTTCCAGGTACGAAGATAGGCTGAAAAGTTGATAGGCTGACTATGAAGTAGTGATACCAGAGCTGTGAAATTTTGCATGAATTGATTTCATCTTCTTATTGATAACTGCCTTGTTTCTTTTTCAGGTACGAAGTTAGGGCTGAAAAGTTGATAGGCTGACTATGAAGTAGAGATACTAGAGCTGTGAAATTTTGCATGAATTGATTTCATCTCTTCTTATTGATAACTGCCTTGTTTCTTTCCAGGTACGAAGATGAGGCTGAAAAAGTTGATAGGCTGACTATGAAGTAGTGATACTAGAGCTGTGAAATTTTTGCATGAATTGATTTCATCTCTTCTTATTGATAACTGCCTTGTTTCTTTCCAGGTACGAAGGTAGGCTGAAAAAGTTGATAGGCTGACTATGAAGTAGTGATACTAGAGCTGTGAAATTTTGCATGAATTGATTTCATCTCTTCTTATTGATAACTGCCTTGTTTCTTTCCAGGTACGAAGATAGGCTGAAAAGTTGATAGGCTGACTATGAAGTAGTGATACTAGAGCTGTGAAATTTTGCATGAATTGATTTCATCTCTTCTTATTGATAACTGCCTTGTTTCTTTCCCCGGTACGAAGATAGGCTGAAAAGTTGATAGGCTGACTATGAAGTAGTGATACTAGAGCTGTGAAATTTTGCATGAATTGATTTCATCTCTTCTTATTGATAACTGCCTTGTTTCTTTCCAGGTCCGAAGATAGGCTGAAAAAGTTGATAAGCTGATTATGAAGTAGTGATACTAGAGCTGTGAAATTTTTGCATGAATTGATTTCATCTCTTCTTATTGATAACTGCCTTGTTTCTTTCCAGGTACGAAGATAGGCTGAAAAGTTGATAGGCTGACTATGAAGTAGTGATACTAGAGATGTGAAATTTTGCATGAATTGATTTCATCTCTTCTTATTGATAACCTCCTTGTTTATTTCCAGGTACGAAGATAGGCTGAAAAGTTGATAGGCTGACTATGAAGTAGTGATACTAGAGCTGTGAAATTTTGCATGAATTGATTTCATCTCTTCTTATTGATAACTGCCTTGTTTCTTTCCAGGTACGAAGATAGGCTGAAAAGTTGATAGGCTGACTATGAAGTAGTGATACTAGAGCTGTGAAATTTTGCATGAATTGATTTCATCTCTTCTTATTGATAACTGCCTTGTTTCTTTTCCAGGTACGAAGATAGGCTGAAAAGTTGATAGGCTGACTATGAAGTAGTGATACTAGAGCTGTGAAATTTTGCATGAATTGATTTCATCTCTTCTTATTGATAACTGCCTTGTTTCTTTCCAGGTACGAAGATAGGCTGAAAAGTTGATAGGCTGACTATGAAGTAATGATACTAGAGCTGTGAAATTTTGCATGAATTGATTTCATCTCTTCTTATTGATAACTGCCTTGTTTCTTTCCAGGTACGAAGTTAGGCTAAAAAGTTGATAGGCTGACTATGAAGTAGTGATACTAGAGCTGTGAAATTTTGCATGAATTGATTTCATCTCTTCTTATTGATAACTGCATTGATTCTTCCTAGGTACGAGGACGGGCTGAAACGTTTATAGCCAGACAATAAAGGAGTAACGATAGAGCTGTGAAACCTTCCATTCATTAATTTCAACTCTCATTATTATTTTATTGTTTCTTTCCAGGTATTAAGTTGGGCTAAAAAGTTGATAGGCTGACTATAAAGCAGTGGTTCTCAACCGGGGTCCACATGGACCCTAGGGGTTCATGTAATATTTCCGGGGGTCCACAGGCAAAACA